CAAATAGGCATAGCATTAACACTAGGAAAGCTTTTGTTGTCACATCATTAAATTTTCTTTATCACCAAGTAAGGCGTGAAAGTAGACTTTGAGATTCTCTTAGCTGGCATTCTATCACCACTTTATGATTTAGAGAAATTATTTTATGATAGCGGTTTAAAAGAGTCTTCAATTTTCTTTATTCTGAATCTTCCTACTATGTAAGCCTCAGAGCTAGCGTTCATGGTTTTACATGGGAAACGAAGACATACATGTCGGCCTTTGCATTCAGCAAACATTTACTTTTTTTTTTTTTTTTTAAGATTTTATTTATTTGACAGAGAGAGAGATTGCGAGAGCAGGAACACAAGCAGGGGGAGCGGGAGAGGGAGAAGCAGGCTTCCCACCGAGCAGGGAGCTCGATGTGGGGCTCCATCCCAGGACCCTGGGATCATGACCTGAGCCAAAGGCAGACGCTTAACAACTGAGCCATCCAGGCATCCTCAGCAAACATTTACTGAGTACCCACATAACACCGAGGCCTTGGGGGAGACACTGATATGAATGGGATAGTCCCTGCCCTCAAAATGATCAGCTTCATCCAGAGAGCAAGAGACTAAATACAGCTATAAAGTTGTGTCAGTTCAACATAAACTGACAAAATTTGGAGGAGGAATAGTATATTTTCAAAGAGGTCTGAAGAGTTGACTAAGGCTAGCTCTATATTCAGCATCCATAGCCCTAAAACACCATAGGAGGATCTGGGTTTTTAAAGTTTATTTATGTATTTTTTTAGTAAGCTCTACACCCAATGTGAGGCTCAAACTCACTACCCCAAGATCAGGACTCGCATGCTCCTCCAACTGAGCCAACCAGGTGCCCCAGGAGGATCTGCTTTTTAAGTCTTCTCCAAAATTCAGTATTGGGAAGTGCTCCTCTTCTGGGACACCTCAACATTCTCAAGATGTCCCTTGAGCTGTGTGCTATTTGCCATCGCTGCGACCACCACACACCGAGTCCCCTCTGCCAACACTCCAGATGCGTAGCTCTCTGAGTGTGAGAGAAAGAGCTCCCAGGACAGGGAAACTGATCCCCACCTTGTTCTCCAAGTGGGAATATTGGCTGTTATGCAAGCATCCAGGGAATATACCGTCAAGTTCTTTGTAACTTAGGAAAAGGGAGACACAAAGTCTTGCTCTGAATAAGGAATCCTGGAGCCATGCACCAGGCCCTGCTGCTCATGAAGTCCTGTGGTGTCACCATTAAGAAGCCTGTGACTTATTTGAAGGAAGGTTTAAGCCATGAACAGGACCCAGTGCCAGGGTAGTTTCTGGGTGTCTTGTGGTGTCTAGAGGAGCTGAGAGGGTCTGGGGGAGGGAAGTGTGGAAGGTATTTTATGTAATCCTGTGAAAGTGTAATTTATTATTGCTATTAATATTCCTATTCTATTCATAACATATTCATATATTAAATAAATATTAATATATTATTCACATAATATTAATATTTCAAAGGATGATTTTCAAAACCAGATTTTTCTGACATTTTAACAGTAAATATCTCTAACACATTTTTGGTGTGTAAAGTTTTCCCATAAAGATCACAACCTGAGCCGAAACCAAGAGTCGGGCACTTAACCGACTGAGCTACCCAGGCACCCCTCATTTCCCTTTTTTCTTAAGAGTCATTATTTATTTGCTTTTTTCTAGGCAAACATATGGGGTTCCCCTCTATTAGTTATAGAAATAATATATGCTTATTGTAAGAAATATAGCAATAGCGTATAAAGTAGAATCTGCCCCCACCCCTTTGTCTTATTCTCAGCACTAGGAGTAACTACTGCTAACACATTTGATAGATGTCCTTTCATACCTCATTTCTAAGTATACCCAATCATATATGCAAATATGTACATTTATTGTTTGTTCCCACAAAAATGGTGAAACAGGTGAAGGGGATTAAGAGTACACTTACCTTGAGGAGCACTGAGTAATATATGGAAGTGTTAAATCACTATATTGTACACCTGAAGCTAATGTAACACTGTACGTTAACTATACTGGAATTAAAAATATTTTTTAATGGAATTACACTATATATATCTACTTCTGCACACACCCATTTTCCATGGGTATTTTTTTTATTTTGGTAAATATAGAGCTATCTTGTTTCATAATGGCCACATACTGTTCTACTGCATTAATGTGCTATAGCATATTTAATTGTTCTTCAACATGTGGACATTGAGGTTGCTTCTATTTTTATCATTATTATATAGTGCATATACTTGAATATATATTTTTATGGTCTCGGTATCTCCAGAGGATATTGTCATTCATCATTGTTTATAACAGCAGATTAGAAGCAACTTACAAGGTGAAACCAGATGATGTTAATCCACAAGAGGGAATGCTATTCAGTCATTAAACATGATGCCGCAGAAGAAAATGTAACCACACGGGGAAAGTGTTCTTGCTGTGTTGTTAAAGGAAAAAGCAAACCTCAGTACGACAGAAACCCAATTTGGGGGCGCCTGGGTGGCTCAGGCGGTTGGGCGTCTGCCTTCGGCTCAGGTCATGATCCCAGCGTCCTGGGATCGAGTCCCGCATTGGGCTCCCTGCTTCTTGGGAGCCTGCTTCTCTCTCTCTCTCTCTCTCTCTGTCTCTCATGAATAAATAAATAAAATCTTTAAAAAAAAGGAAAAAAAAAAAAGAAACCCAATTTTGTGCATATTATATGTAGAACAAAAGATTGGAAAGTACAAGCAAAGATGTATCTTGAATGGCAGAATTACAAATTATCTTCAGGGTGAGATTGAGTCCTTTGATTTTGACATTTTTGTGTTTTTCTATATTTCCCAAACGTTTTGCATTCCGATTTTGGTATTTGCAAAGTTAGGTATAATTTTTTAAGGTTTACAAGTCATAAGCAGCCTTGGGCTAAGCTACACATTGAAAGGAGCAAAAGATCTAGAAAACCGAGGCATTCCCCTGAGACTGCGGGGCTCTGTGTCCTTAATCAACCTGCCACAGAGGGCACAGCCAAGTGACTTGAGGTCTGTGTTGATGTGTTCCCCCCACAGGTATGTTCTTGATGACCAGTACGTCAGCTCGGTAGGAACCAAGTTTCCGGTCAAGTGGTCAGCCCCAGAGGTGTTTCACTACTTCAAGTACAGCAGCAAGTCCGACGTGTGGGCGTTTGGTAAGAATGTGGCCACATGGGCCCCAGCCCCATTTCGTAAGCTCGCTTCCACAACAGGAAACCACAAGAGCAGCAACATCCATTTTTAGCAAAAGCCCCGAGCACTTGTGAAATGACCTTCATGGCCTAAGATAAGCAAGAGATTGAAGATGATGGTGACCTATGCTTGGCCCGTATCAGGATGTCTGCCTCGTATTTTACAAAATCCGCATCCTGCTAGCTCCTTTGTATCAAACCATAGGAGATAAAAAACTCTTCCACTGAAGAATGCTAACAGTTTTAAAGGAGTCGTTGAGAACTAGAGCTGAGTTTGCGTGAAGTCCAAAACGTTGAAGGGCTTGAGATATAGTCATGAACTTTCGGCGTGAAAGCAGCCGTGACCACCATTCCCTTTGGAAGCGACTAACCCTCTGGGCATGCCTGGTGCAAACCCCAAACACAACTCAGTGCTGTCTTTAGCCCATACTAATTTCAACTAGGGTCCTCATTAAAATTCATCGCTAGATCAAGGGTCAGCAAACCTTGGCTCAGGACCAAGTCTGGTGGCCTGTTTCTGTACATAAATTTTTATTGGAGCAAGCCATGCCCATTCGTTCCTGTATTGTGTCAGATTTTGTACATTTTTAAAATAACTATTACTTTTGGAAAAGTAGTATCGTTCACTTAAAAAAATAATAATCCAACATACACAGAAAAAGAAAAAAAACCACAAAGATAGCATTGTGGTGAATACTTGATACCCTTTCAGGCTGATTAACTTGTCAAAACTAGTTTCAGTCTCCTTGTGTTGATATGCCTTATGAAAGATGCTTTTAAAAATCAGTATCCTTACTCAAGAGTTATAGCTTGTTTTTGATCCCAAAATGGCATTGCCCAGCTTGATTACTCACCCTATGCCCTAGAAGTTGGCTCCAGATATTTTCTGGCTATTTCCCAAAACTAAATCCATTCTTAAGTAATTTGTCCCCAGTGAGGATATTCAAAATGAACCAGGGCCTCTGAAAGCAATTCTCAAAGAGGGGGCCCCACAGATATTTGAAGCAATGATATTACTTTTGAGATAAGTGGATAGCCTTCCAAAGACAGAACTTTTGGATGGTTGTTTTAGAAGGTTGTTAAAAAAAATACAGCCCCAGCAACTTGTAATAGTGCCTTATTGTAAATATTTTACATAAAATCTGTAGCCCTAAAAGTCAAAGAAATTTTGAAGTTAGTGCTTCAGTTACGGTTCTAGAATAGTTTTCTTCCTTCTTACATATTTCTGGCTTGCCAAAGCTTCGAAGCTGGCTTACTGTTGAAATTCTCTGGCTTGGGCGCCTGGGTGGCTCAGATGGTTGAGCGTCTGCCTTCGGCTCAGGTCATGATCCCGGGGTCCTGGGATCGAGTCCCACATCGGGCTCCCGGCTCAGCGGGGAGCCTGCTTCTCCCTCTGACCGTCTCCCCTCTCATGCTGTTTCTCTCTCGCTCACTCTCTAAAAAATAAATAAAATCTTTAAAAAAAAAAAAAAAAAGAAGAAATTCTCTGGCTTGGTCAGGACGACAGCACACTGGCCACCATTTAGAGAGCATTTAAAGTGTCCTGGTGCTCTTTATGCACTCTGCATGTCTTATCCTAGTTCATGCTCACAGCAACTCTATGATGTGCAAATATCGGCTTATTATAGACAGGGAACCTGCTCCGAGAAGGGCTGAGAAACTTACCCAGCCTCTAAGCGGCAGAACTGAGCCTCAAAGGCCACATCTAACTGACCCCACTTCCACCCTCAACCACCATGACCAGAACCCGGTTTTTAAACCTGGAGTCTGCAATGGCCTTGGATGGGCTTCAGGACACCACGAACATCCAGAAACCGAACACAAAAATGCTGTGTGTTCACTTTCCAAAGAGAGAGCCAATGGTTTTTATCAGGTTCTCAAAAGGACACCTGACCCACAAAGTATTAGGAACCACCAAGGCAAAACGGAGGAATTTTGTCAATGATTTTATCTGTAAATTTCCACAGGAAGGCAATTTGACGGTGCACTGAAATTGTTGCACACCACTGCCAAGTCAGAAAGAAAGGGCGAGGACTTCAGTCAGTCACTCCTCCGGGTGGGAGCCGGGGGTTGACTCTGAGGGTGGACGAGGCCCCAGCCGCCTCTCTGAAACAGCCCAAGAATCTTGACCCCAAGTAGCTTCCGATGCGGCTGCCTTTGCCGTTGACCTGTTTACCAGAACAGGCACCCGGGTCCCCGGGAACATGGAGAAGGGTACCCTGGGCTCCAGAAGTGATGGTACAGTCCCACCCTCTATACCCTGTCCTTTTTGCTAGGACTCATTTCCCGGGGATCCCTCGCTCTGCCCCACAGCCTTCCTGATCTGGTGTGGGAGGCTTGTTCAACAAACTCTGTACCTTCTGACATGGGCTCTCTTTCCTTTTTGTCTGCCGTTCGCCCTTCGTGTGGCGCAGGGATCCTGATGTGGGAAGTGTTCAGCCTGGGGAAGCAGCCGTATGACTTGTATGACAACTCCCAGGTGGTTGTGAAGGTCTCCCAGGGCCACAGACTCTACCGGCCCCAACTGGCATCGGACACCATCTACCAGATCATGTACAGCTGCTGGCACGAGGCAAGTGCCCCGCGGGGGCGGGGCTGGAAGGGGCATCAGGTGCATCCACGGCGGTTGCCTAGGACACCACTGGGCGAGTCATTTATGAGGGAAAACACCTGCTACACAGCGGGTGCAACGGCCCCGAGCCCCTTCCCTCAAGTGTCTGTAATTTAAAACCAGCAACGGAGCAATGTAGGTGCTAACGGTTTAACAAACAACTTACATCCAGCACTGTTCTAAGAACTTCATAAATATTAACCCATTTATTCATCAGGCAACACACTATGAAGTAGGTACCAGCATGACCAAAACTAAGAGGAAACAGACCCAGAGAGGTTAAGTGACTTGCCCAAGGTCACACAGCTAGTAAGAGGTAGGCTGGCTAGTCTCCGAGTCCCTGCTCTTAACCACGACACTATGGGTCTGCACAGAGACAATCCCCAGTTGAAGGTTCTGCATATAGTGAGTGTTTTGCACATTTTGGTCCCCCACTTTTAAAATATTCCATTTCACAACTTTTAGAACATTCACGATTTTCATTAGATTCCAATTTATCTTTCCCATACTTCTTTGCACAAAAGTGAGAATGCATATGTGTGTGTGTGTGTTTCCATTTCTTTCTTATGAAAAAAGGAGCATACAAATCCCCTCCGCAGGAGTTGCCCCTCCACCAATGTGCCTATTTTCCAACCATCTTACCAACACAGACCATTGTCAAGCTCCTGGATTTCTGCCAATCTGATAGATGAGAAATGGCATTTTACTGCAGCTTTTATATGTACATCTTTCATTACAATTCAGGTTTACTTTCAAGGGTACGGGTATCTCTTTCTGAGAATTAAATGGCATATCTTTTCCTTTTGTTCTATCAAGTTTTTTGTTTCCCTCACCTTGATTTTAAAGTTCCCTTTATAAATGAAAGACATTAGTATTTAATCTGTGATAGTTGTAAATATTTTCTCCCAGTTTGTCGCTTATCTCTTAATTTATGGTAGTTTTTGCCATCAAAGATTTTTTTTTAAATATGATTGACTCTATTAATATTTGCTTTTATTACTTCTGGAAACTGAGTTAACGTTAGATAGGTTTCCCCAGACCCTGATTATGATAGCATTCACTCAGATTCTCCTCTAGTACTTTTATGGTTTCATTCTTTCACATTTAGATCTCTGATCTAGTTTGTGTTTGTTATCGTATACGGTATGAAGTATGGATCCAAAGATCTCGTTTTCTAATTGACTACCTGCTTGCTGCAGCATCATTTAAAGACCATGTCATTCCCAGGGGCAAGATACCATCTAATGGTGCCGAAATATCTAACATAGGAAATTTCCATATGTATTTGGGATTATTTGGGGACTCCCTCTTCTGTTCTCCGGTCTCTATTCATGTGCTAGCACTGCATTGTTCTAATTATAGAGGTTTTATAATATGTGTTAATCCTAGGTAGGCTAGCACTCCCTCATTGTTCACCTTTTTTTATACCTTTCCTAGCTATTTTTACATACATTTTTTAAAACTGAGTTTAATTTTTAAATTTTTTAAATTTTAGCTCCAGTGTACTTAACCTACAGTGTTATATTCATTTCAGGTATTATTTCTGCATATTTTAAAAATCCATGAACTAGAGAATCAATTTGTTCAGCTTGAAACAAACTTGTTCATGTTTTGGAGGAGACTGTAGTTTATATTTTAACTAGGGAAATTTGACATCCTTGTGATATTGATTTGTCCTCTTCAAGAACAAGCAATGATTTTCTATGTGCATAAGTCTACATTTGTATTTTTCAGCAGTGTTTAAAGCTGTCCTTATTTTGGGGTGGGAGGTACGTTTTTGTTTGTATTTTATTTTGGTGTCATTGCTCTTCTAAATGGAGTTTTCTCTTCCATTGTGTCTTCTGGCTGGTTCTTGTACATGTACCTGAAGGCTATTGATTTTATATGTTAATTTTGCATACTGCTCTCCTGCTGAATTCCTTATCATTTGGGTCGGTTCTATCATTCATTCTCCTGGTTTTTCCAGGCATACAACCATATCTTACACAAATAAAGATATTTTTACTGTTTCTTTTCCAATTCTTAGGGTTCTAGTTGTTTTGTCTTTAGTGGAAATGTCCATAGTGTTTCCACACTTAAACAGTCACTAGCTTTAGTTTTGAGGTATACATATCTTCTATATTTTATTTTTAATCCTAACTTTCATAAACTAAGCCATTGGGTTTTTCTTTTATTTAGCTTCCAGAAAAGCGTCCCACATTTCAGCAACTCCTAGCTTCCATTGAACCACTTCGGGAAAAAGACAAACCTTGAAGAAGAAATCAGGAGATCTGATGAGAACGAATGTAAATGCTGGCCAACATTTTCATTCCTTTTAAGGAAAGTAGCAAGACGCAGACAATGTAATTTAGCTAGTTCTTCTTAATAGCGTTCTGTGTGCTGTTTGCCTGTTGTATTATCTCGAAGTTGAACAAGGTAAGAAACAAAAGAGTTCCTTGAAATTTAGGTCAAATTAGTAATTCTGTGTATGCTGCTCTTAATATTATTACACTTCCCAGCCTATAGCAGAAGCACATCTTCTGATTGTGGTAGACAGAGGGTGTACCATTTGTAAAGACTGCATCGAATTAAAAAATTCTTTGTTGGATATTTGTTCTTTTCCTTATATTGTCACTATCCTGATAATTAAATATGCTATTAACAAGTACCAAAATGTGGACATTTGCCTTCATGTTTCAATGCTGTCAAACTTTACCATGTATGCAAATCAAAAGGAGAGTTCATTAAAATATACTCCTGGGGCGCCTGGGTGGCTCAGTAGGTTAAGCATCTGCCTTCGACTCAGGTCATGATCTCGGGGTCCTGGGATCGAGTCCCGTGTTGGGCTCCCTGCTTCTCCCTCTCCCTTGACTCCACCACTCTGCTCATTTTTTTCCCTCTCCCTCTCAAATAAACAAACAAAATCCTTAAACACACACAGAGATTCCTAAGGAACTAAGCTTCCAGATGTTCCTCGCAGTCACCCCTGCCCTAGAGGACCTCCTTATACAGTGGGGCAGCATTAGGTGGTCCGTAATTCAATCTAAATGACTCAACTCTCATTTGACTTCTAGGTTAGAACAAAGACTCTTTGGGTCATATATGTATGCCATGCAAATATAAAACTAAAATTAAATAGTATCATTCAAGAAGATATTAAATATATTTCCACATAGAGCAAATTCTTAAAGATGCTAAGGTAAACTTGATGCCTTTTTTTAACTTTAATCCTTATCAATTTGGATACGGTGTAACCACAGTCTTATTTCTAGAATTGATTGCTGCCTTCTAATCATATTCAATCCTTGAGTTTGGGGCTCTGGGGTGCCTGGCTAGTTTGGTGACTGACATTTCTATTTCAGTCTTCTATCTTGACACAAAGGTACAGAAGTATTATTTCAGTTTCTCCTGGTGATTACTAAAAGGTACTTCTGCTTTTACACTATTCCTGGGACTCCTCTCCTTCACGGCCCACTGCTGAGCCCATAGGTTTTCATCTCTTCTGAAGCACTTCACAGTCTTTTCTGTAACATCAAGGAGGGAGAGAGAAAGACCACTGGAGGCACAATTATACTGAAAAGACACTAAGTGCTGCTCCTCATCTCTGGATGGAAGTTAACCATCTCCCTTAAGAGATCCTCATATTCTGTCTCATCCCACTGACTCCATCACCTCCCAGCTATTTCCAGTGATCTCTCTTGGTTGTTTCTTAACACATACATGCAGATTCCTGTATTTTCAGAAGAATGGACTTTTGATAGTTTTCTATTTTTTTTTACAGAGGTGCACAAATCTCACCTTACAATGAAATGGAACTTTAAAATAACCACTAGGGCATGAATAACATTCAGCGAACATTTCTTGAGCAAGTACTGTCTGACAGGGCTCTTTCCTACCCAAGGGAAAAGAAGGAACCAGTAACTCAACTCCTCTTCTCCTCAACAGGCCCTCGTGAAGTTTGCTTTCCTTTCTTCTCCTTATTTCTTTGTATTTGGTTTTTTAAAAACAATCTTCTTTGTAACAAAAGTAATATACACTTATTGCTAAATTTCAAACAGTACAGAATCGTCTACTATGAAAAGAACCGAAGCAGTGCTTAGAAGCCTGGCTCCCGACATCAAGTCAAGGAAGGTTTTAAGATACCAGTAGAGGTTTATAAGAAAAGCAGCCCAGTGATGCTAGGAGGAGCCAAGGAAAGGAACAATACTCATACCACGTAAAACATGCATAATTTTGAAAATGCTATTTAACCATGTTTAGTGGTGATATCTAGCATTTACAGCTATTGTTTTAAGCCAGGGGACTGCCTACATGCTCTTGGAAGTGAAGAAAAGGTCATCCTCTCCTGACTTGGCTAACCGATTCACCATGACCATTATCTCCATAGAATTTATTTTATTTTTTAAAAAGATTTATTTATTTTAGAGAGCACATGTGAGAGAGTGAGAGGGAGGGAGCAAAGGGAGAGGGAGAGAGAATCTCAAGCAGACTTCCCACTGAGCATGGAGATGTGGGGCTCGATCCCACAACCCTGAGATCATGACCTGAGCCGAAATCAAGAGTCGGATGTTTAACCGACTGAGCCACCCAGGCGCCCCTCTCCATAGACTGTATTAAGTACAGAGTTACTCTAACATTATGCTGGTCACCACAGAGAGTGAGTTGCAGGGTAAAGTTGGGATATTTTCATCAATTTTGAATCTGTCTTCAGGTATGTAGTGGATGCTGTGCTCAGAATCGGGCTGGATTCTGAGGTCTACAAAAGGAGTGTTAGGCTTGGTTCCTAACTGGACAGTGTCCACAATCTTACACACTCCTCTTTAGACTGATCTTAGAGCCACTTTGTACACTAAAGCAATTTAAGAAATTGGGACACATTCCAAGACATTTGAGAGGTCAAGTGTCCCAGGCAGTCAGACAGCAACTTTGTCCGTGGAAGTGACAAGCAGACAGAATCCCCGAAGCCCCAGCACGTAAGTACACGTGAGACCTCAGGAGTGTGAATCTAGTCAGTATTTATTGACTGTCTGCTTTGTGCTCAGCACTACTCAGGCATTGTGGGTGAATACAAGATTTAAGAGATTGGGTACCCACTTCCGGGGAGGACATTCAGTTGAGGTTTCTAGTCACTCCATGGAGAACAACAGAAGTGAGTTTCCATCAGGTGTGCTCTGGGGGGGCAGGTCCCAGGAGGCCCCTGGGGCTAGTTTTACATTGTCAGGGAGATGATGATCAAGCATGGATGGAAGTGAAAAGGCAACATCTGTGAACAGCTCTCTGGATTCTTCTCTCTTCTTTAGACCTGTCATCCCGAAGAAGGCATGATCCAGTCCACTCACCGCTGTGGGCAAATCACTATAGTACTTAGATTAACTTAATGTGAAAGAGCGTGCCATCCTTTACACTTGACTTTAAGTGAACAGCGTGTGCCATTCTCACTCCCTGCAGTTCCGCCATTTCACAGAGACGGTCCTTAAAAGCGATCCATCTGGGCTCCATAGAAGGCCCCACTTGCTCCCACCATATATCCCTCTTTTCTCTTTCCACTCCAGCCAGGCAACAGACATTTCCACTTCCATTACCCCGAACAGCCAGTGAGGCCAAAGACACATTTTTCTCTATTACTCTCAAACATGAACAGAAGTGAAATCTCGAGGCAGAAATAAATACTGAAAGCCAGTGAAGATGCCCTCTCCTCAGGCATGTCTTCTTGGGGTAAATTTTCCTGACCAGAGCCATAGTTTTGATATCTAATGACAGCTTTATAATCTCCTATTATCTGTACCATAAAATTAACATTTGCATGCAATAAAATCACCTCAAAAGGAAATCAAACAGGTTTTCCTAAAATGAAGTCTGAACAGCACCAACATTTTGGAATCCTGGATTATTTTCTCCTTTACTCAAATTCACGGAGGCATAAGGATTTTCTTCACTTCTGGCTTGATCGTTCCTGTTAAATAAAGCGAAGTCACCTTGGTATAGTGTTGCTGAAGGACCTGGCCTCCCTTGGACCCCACTGGCCCAGGCTTCTGACACCTCAGCATCAAATCGCTCGTTGGTGAATCTATCCCCTCCCGATGGACTGGGAACCCCTAGAGAGCATGAGATTCCCTCCTTTTGCCCCACGATTGGTTGGCGGGAAGGCTGGCAGAGCGTGGGAGGCTGCTTAGGGTATCTGCTCCAGGGTCAGAGAGAGTGCACTTCTGTTCCTCAGTTTGCCTATTTGGAAAACGATGGCGGTTCTGCCAAGTCCAGGAGATGGTGCTGGCGGAGCACTCACGGTACCCGGCATGCAAACCTCCACAAATAGTAGCCAGGATTATTCTTTATAGAAACCAAGTGGTCACTTAGAAACGAAGTGGTCATTTGGCCAAGTGCCTCCTTTTTAAAGAGCTTCCCTACTAAATGATCAGCTTCCCAAGTGTCCAGACCAGAGCAGGACAGCTCTGTCGCACAACCACCAGGTTTGCAGACCGGCTGTGGATCCCAATCTGTTACTGACAAGCCGTGTCAGTTTGAGAGAGTGACTTGGTCTCTCTGAAGCTCAGTTTGGTACATACATGAAGATAATTAGATAATTACATATTGACATCATATGTTTGCTGAGACTATTAATGCGTCCAAGTACTGAGCAGGGTAGCCAGCATGCGGCATGAAGGAAGTTCCCCAAGTAGCTCATGTGCAAAGTAAGAATGCTTCTCAAACCATCATGTGCATACAAATCACCTGAGGGTGGCCTTACTAAAAACGCAGACCCTCCAACCGCAGACAGGTCTCTGAGAAACTGATAATTGTTGTTGGCTTTGGGAAGGGAACTTGGAGGCAAAGGGTGGCAAGAAGATTCTGGGTATCCTTTGGAGTTTTTATAATTCTAACCATATGAATGTATTCCATTCAAGGCCTAATTTTCTTAACTGAAGCTATTTTAGGGAACTAAAAATCTCCACAGTGAAGAACTGAGCAAAATAGACCAGGGCATGTCAAAATTCCATCATGAACACGTTTAGGCAACCTGCAGTGTGCACAGTTTGGGTAGGTGCTATAAAATATTATTAACATTAATTACATAAGCCTAATGAAAGCCAGTGATTTCTCAAGGTCAGAAAAACCATCTAGTGGCAGAGCAAGATTATAAATCAGGTCTCTGGCGATTTAAATCCTCACTGGACTTGGATCTTCCATTCAAGAACACATGAGAGGGCACTGTGGCCCCTGAGCTACGGGGATGACAGGGAGCATGGGCCACCTGAGGGGGAATGAAGATGATGGAAGGGTGGCAGTTTGAGGCGAATCGCAGAGCTCATTCTAGAATGGTTTTACAGTGCCAACCATCACTGAGCCAGTCTCCGGGGTCACTTCTAGACCAAGGAAGACTAGAAGTGCGGATAATCCCCTGAGCCTGTCTGCCTCCCCTCCCCAAGTTTGCAGGACCTCCCGGCAGTAGGGAAAGGACACTGTGGCCAGGATGGAGTTTCCCCGGGCTCACTCGAAAGCCCTAGGCTGAACATTGCACGCCAGCTAGGAAGGCAAAGTGCTGACGAAATCTGGGAAATTTCTAGGGGATGCATCAGAATATTTAGGTGCAAAATTGTCCAAAAAAGTAATTGGCTTATACAACCTACCACTTGCTGCAAATTCTCCAGTTAGTTTTCCCTAAACCTTTCTGTTTTAAGATAAGGTAAGTCTAGGAAGGGTCACTTACTTCCTTCGATTTCTGATCCCGGAGAAGATGAGCAGGACAATGCCAACCACCACCACTCCCATCACGGCCCCAAAAACAATCAGCCATATGGTGACAGGTGGCTGGTAAGGGGGTCCCAGTGTTGGCTGAATCCCCAGAAACTCCAGGCTCTTGTCATCCAGGCGGAAAGCATCATTGATACGGCCCCGGGACATCCTATTCCCAAAAGCAAAAACACTTAGGCAAAACAGAATTGTGTGTAATTATTTACTTCTTACATCATTGCTCCCGAAAGGATTTGATAAGCCTTAGCCTAAGACTGTACACCTCAAATAGCGATGAAATCAAAGGCGATAGCCAGGTCCCATGAAAGGTACGAGATCTGACAATTAGGCACCTTTCATATCTTGTAGCCTAGATTAGGTCTGGCAACGGCTTCCTTGGAAAATTGGTTTGCAAGTGTGGAAACATGCAACTGGCTGGTGTTTGTTCATCCATGACTGCTGTGTTGTAAAGGCAAAGTCAGCGTATTTGGCAAGAATTTCCCTTCTGTCAGAGTAGGCGTACAATGACTTTATATCAGATAACAGAAAAGGACAATTGGGTCCATCTCTTCTACAAATCAACCAGGTCCTATACCCAAGTCTTGATGGTTGTAGTTTCCCAATAAAAGTGATTGACCTTTGGAGGCAGGGGAGGAACACAGGAGAGGGGTCTTCGCCAACTTCTCCAGCACTGGGGATGGGATATGGCTAAATTTTAGAGAGCAAAAAAGGATGGAGGGGATTTTAAAAACCAAAATTAGGGAAATTGAGAATATTCTGAATTGAAAGCCCAAGGGTCTGGCAGCCCATCCTCCTACCCTTGGGTGTAGTACAGGTCAGGAGGTCAAAAGGAGAGAGGGAGATCTGTCAGAGCAGAATTAGCCATGTAACCTCAGCCTGAATTCGTCTCAAGTCATTCTGGAAACGGGAGATTTGGGACCCCCCGCAGCTCACAAGGAGGGCTGGGCTCTTTAATGCTGATCTCAGCTGCCACTTTTCCCCAGGACAGAAACAAGTCATTTGGAGGCCGACGGTGAAGTCTCTGGATGTGGGTGGGTTGTACACCCCAACTAAGCCAGATTTTCCAGGCCCACTCTGCCCGGCAGGTCTTGGATTTGCTTCCAGAGATGAACAGCGGCTCAAGAGGGCCACCTAGCGGGCTCCCCCATAGCAGCAGGTATCTTAAGCCTTTTTTTAGTGTCATCGATCTGTTCTTTCTTGCTGTTTGGGGAAACAGACGAGGCACCTTGGGCCAATCGTTCCTTCTAGATGCTCACTGCCCACAGTAAGTCCCTCTCCTAGTGTCGAGGCCAAGCGACAGCTAAGGAATCCTATTCTTGCCCACCTCGTTTCTGACTCTGGTTACTGAAACGATTCCTTCATCCGAGTCCCTACAACAAATGCTGGCAATACGTGTCCATGTCCCTTCTGCATTTACCATTCTGTATGCGTGCAGGCCAGACCTTCTTCAGCCAGTACGTGCTGCCTTTGCCCGAGAGCATTCTCAGGCCACAAGGGGCTGCCCGGCCTGCACACCAGAACTGCCGGGGAAGCCATGGCACCAGCCAGCACTTCGCAACCAATGGCTGGTGGGAGGCGGCGGGTAAATACCCCAGCGCGGATGGACAGTTCAGGTGCATGATGTGCTCATTGTCCCAGAATTCCCCGGCACCATGGAGCTCTAGTTGCTCACCGCGGTCCCTTGCTCGATAACATGTCATTTATGATCTTCCTTCCATCCTCTGCCCCTGTGCACTTTTCTTTCTCAGAGCTTCTGGAGATCACCTCCCAAATCAACTACTTATACTCCAATAACTGTTTAAGAGCCTGCGTACGGAGGAGCCCAAATCAAGAGAGATCCTTCTGGAATTAAAACCCCAGTCTTTAAGCTGAAAAAGGACTCAGAACAGTGCCCGGCACACAGAGCACACTAAACCACAAGCCCTTGTCGTGGGTGCATTCATCAGCCTCCCTCCCCCTTAGAGAGCTTGTCTGAAAGTAAAATCACCTGATGGCCTCTTCCACGTCAGCTCTAGGAATGATATCAGACACATTTCCAGGTAAAGTGACAAAGAAGGTGAAGGAGATTCTGGGTTTCAAATCGTTCACCCACACGTTATCCTCCCTGCAGAGAAAAGAAACATCTTCCCTTGTGGCACGGACGACACAGCAAAGAGAATGGGGGCTCCCCCTGCCAGTGAAAAGGGGGTGGGAGCGGGGCGGGGGGGGAGTCACAGGGTGAAGGCGAGAGACATGGGATAGGGCGAACAGTGGAAGGATGTGATTGTCCCCACATCCTCGACGCTTCCCAAAGCACATGAACTCAAGGACACAAGTTGGAATAACACACTAGATGAACCCCATTATGATAGAAAAATTTCAAACTGAAGGCAGCTGAAGAACCAGCGAGGAACCATGGGTGCCCCAGGATTGTGATAAACACCGTGGCGGGCGGCGACGGCTCAGTACCATGAACAGAGGTGGTGCGTTCCTCCACCCCAGTCCCACAAGGCAAAACCCGTCGCGTTACACCCACAGCGGGGGGAGGGGGTAAGGAGTGGGCTTTACCAACAAGGTGACAAGACTGGCCTCTCCCAGCTGCCACAGGGATCCTGCCAAAACCTAAGGCAGATCCTGTGGCTCCCAGCCCTTCTCACTCAGAAGAAAGCCAACGTCCTTGGAATGCTTGCGAGGCCCAGGAGAACGTTCTTCTCCCCCTCCTACCCCCACGCCCCACTACCGCCCTGACCACACCTCCTACTTGTCTTCTATGAGCTAACTGCTCCAGCCCCACTGGCCTCCTTGCTGTTCCTTCAACAGGTGGAGGATCTTCGTTCCTCAGAATCTTTCCACCTGCTACCTACCTTCCCCTTGTCTGCTTTGCTGGTGCTCTCCTTGCTTCAGATGTTTGCTCAAGGATTCATGAGGCCTTTTCTGACTATTGCAGTTAAAGCCGAACTGTAGACACACCAGCACTCCCTAGCCCCCCATCTGTGGTATTTTTCTCCCTTGAACTTGTCACCATCTCATTCTAGTATATTTCACTTAACATATTTTGCTGATTGTAATCCACACATGAAATACACATTAAAGGCAAGTACAGTGAAGGCAGAGATGTCTGTCTTTTCCTTTCAGTGCTGAGTGTAGAGGAAGCATTTGGTGGAGGGAAAGGGAGAGGAAAAGAGGAGGGAGAGGAGAAGGGAGGAGACGGGGAAAGAGAACAGTGCTCTTGCAATCTATAAGTCAAGTAAGTCACAGTCCTCCCTAAAGAGAATGGCCCAAATTTCAGGATATCAGAGTAGTTCCAGAGTCATTAGGAGGTTTTTCTTAATTTTACTTGCATAAAAGTTTAAGCACAATATCTTTTCAGGCCCAAGAGAAAGAGAAATACTGTTTAGAGTAACTCACACAAAAGGGATCGTCTGGTTTTTTTCTTTTGAAAAATACTCTCTCATGGCATATGCAATAGATGACCGGAATAAGTACATCTCATTGTCATTCCATTTGTACTGCAAATTCAAAAGAAAAACACTGCTCAGTAGGGATCATGGGATACATTCAAAACCTGATATTCCAGAAGCATTATTTTTACATTTTCTAATACTCTGGAGAATCTTGCTATTCATTAGGTCAGTGACCTCCAACTTGTGTGGGCACCAGCATCCCCCGGAGGGCTGGTCAAACCACTGAAGAGTGGGCCCTACCCTCCTGAGTTTTTAATTCAGAAGGTCTGGCATGGGACCGGAGGATTTGCATGTGTAACAAGCTCCCAGGTGGCACCTGTGCTTTAAGGACCATGTTCATGGATCCTTTTCGGTTTGAGAGGAGGCAAAATAAACATCCTGAGGGCAGCTTTATGGATGGGAGCCGTGCGAGTTGTGGGTTTTAGTTAAAATGTCCATGTATTGTACACCTGAGACGAATATAACACTGTATGTTAATTATAGTGGAAAGAAAAAAATAAGTTTAAAAAAGAAAAAAAAAAATCCAGGTATCGTAGGCAAAGATGCAGAGCTTTTACTGTGTATATAGTAAGTTCTCAGATATGTACAAGTGTACAAGAAAAAGAAACTTGAGGTTCGAAGGAAAAAATAACTGTTTGTGGACAAGGTAATTTGTTCTTGTTTTGCGGTGCTAAACAAACAGCTGGTGTATTTGCATAGTCTGAACATTTGCTAAAAGAGTAAAAAAGCATTCACTCTTTCCTCCAGTAGCTGGCAGTAGAAATCAATGAATGGCACAAATTTTGCCTCTCTCCTTTCCCTTTTAGAAAAAACAATGACAAGGTTTCACAGAAGATTTGTTACATTAACCTCAGCTTGATACCACTCAGGTTTGGCAAAAAAAGCTGCTTTAAGAGTACTAATAATGTTATTAATATCGCTACTATGAATATTCTGGTTACTATTTCCATATTAAAAAAAAAAGTAAGGCAAACAATGAATCATGGAACACTACATCAAAAACTAATGATGGGGGCGCCTGGGTGGCTCAGTTGGTTAAGCAACTGCCTTCGGCTCAGGTCATGATCCTGGAGTCCCGGGATCGAGTCCCACATCGGGCTCCCTGCTCGGTGGGGAGTCTGCTTCTCCCTCTGACCCTCCCCCTCTCAATGCTCTCTGTCTCCCATTCTCTCTCTCAGATAAATAAATAAAAAATCTTAAAAAAAAAAAAAACTAATGATGTAATGTATGGTGATTAACATAACATAAAATAAAATTAAAAAAAAAAGTAAAGGTTGAGTTCACAAAACCATGCCAAAGATCCGGCTGGACTTTGCCATACAACAGGTTGACCTGGGCCGAGATTCTGGCCTGGATGCGCCGGGGGTGCTAAAGCAGGGGGCCGGCCCCAGCAAAGCAGCCTGCTACTCTGCTAAGGGGCCTCAGAGCGGCACACCACCAACCCCTCTGAAGACCATTTACCAATCCCTCACTGCAGGGAAAGAGAACATGGGGACAGATGTCAAGAAAACCAGATAACTGAAAAGGATCCTGATCTGCTGGATCCTTTAAAGGAACTAAAATGTATTGGGCCAAGGAAGCACTAATATAAAGATAAGAGAAATAATCCCACAGACATTCAATGATGGTGAAGAACTGGAAATCTGAACGCTTAAGATTTGGGAAGGGATGCGCCTTCATTTTCATTATTTCTTTCTTAAAGCTTCCTTTTTCATGGAACACTTCATCTAAAACTAATGATGTAATGTATGGGGATTAACATAAGAATAAAAAAAAAAAGCTTCCTTTTTCACTCCTACTGTGTTATCTATGTTTAGCTGTCTTACTTAGCTAGGAAAATGACGCTGTAACTACCGTGGAGCCTTAGGCAATATTTAACTTGGCAGGAAACAGAAGGGGGTCGAAATGTAATCTTCGGCTCTATCCAGTGCAAATCACAATTTTCTGTTGCGCCCAGGGCCGCTCCATCCAACAGTCCCAGGCTGTCCTCTCATCCTACACGGCCTCCTGTGCTCCCCATCTGCCTGGGGCTGCCCAGTCCTCTCCTCTTTCCCAAAGCCACTGCTTCTTCAGCCTGGCTAGCCTGAGACAGGTGTCTAGTAGAGCAATAGCTGCTGAAAGGAATTCACACGCAGGTGTGAGTGATCTGGTTTGCCGTGAAACATTCGGTTATCCCCAAATGCAGATAGACATCAGTAGTTCTCAACTTTGGCTGTAATTAGAATCACCCGGGGGAGATTTTAAAACTCTTGATGCCCAACTCTTGATGCTACACCTCAGAACAATTAAGTCAGAATCTCTGGAAGTGGGACTCGAGCTTTAATATTTTTTAAACATCCCATACGACTCCAGACTCCAGGGTGCAGCCAGGTTTGAGAAATCTTGTTGTAAATCAGAGCTTCCCAGTCTAGTGTATACAAACCAGCTGGGGGCTTGTGAAAATGCAGATTTGGCTTAAGCAGGTCCAGGGCTGGGGCCTAAGATTCTGCATTTTTAACAAGCTTCCAGGATATGGATGATTGACTAAAACAAAACAAAGCAAAACTATCTACAGTACTTCTAAAAACAATCTCTCACAACATAACCTTGTCCTCTTCCTCAAATACAAGTAATGGTGATAAGAGTGAATTAAGATGATGGACACTTGGGGTGCCTGGGTGGCTCAGTCCATTAAGCTTCTGACTTCCGTTCGGGTCATGATCCCAGGGTCCTGGGATTGAGCCAGCATCCCTGCTCAGTGGGGAGCCTGCTTCTCCCTCTCCGTCTGCCACTCCCCCTGCTTGTGCTCTCTCGCTCTCTCTCAAATAAATAAAATTTTTTAAAAATTATTTTTAAAAAAGGGTGGACACTTGATATTTAAGATCGGATGTTTTCTCATTGATCTTCATAGCACTTGAAAGTAACAAGGAAAAAGTAGACATCACCAATCCAATAAAGAACGTGTTACTGAAAAAAAAAAAAAAGCCCAAGAGCCAGAATCTGGAGCTTGTAGTTTTTAAGAGAAACATGTGGCCTGTCTTCTTTTAGAACACACTGGAATGGGCTTATTTGTCCCATTTAAGGGAGTGCATTAAGAAGTAAAGGACGGGGGCGCCTGGGCGGCTCAGTAGGTTAAGCATCCGGCTCAGGTCATTATCTCAGGGTCATGAGATCGAGCCCCAGTGGCAGACTCCACGCTCAGCAGGGAATCAGCTTCTCTTCCTCTCCCTCTCCCTCTGTCCCTCTGCATGTGCTCTCTCTCAAATAAATAAATAAAACTTAAAAAAAAAAAAAAGAAGTAACGGACACACTGTCCAGAATACTCACTGCTTTTTCTCCAAGAGCTGATTTTAGGCTTATCCTCACTTTAATGCTTTGGTCAGCATCTGATTAAAGAGAAATCATAGACTGTTGGTTACAGATGACAGATTGACCATGTGCATTTATTTCCTTCCCCTCCCAAGATCCCACCAAAGTGATAGTAAAGGAATTTTTTAACAGGTATAAATACATACACTTTTGGAAAATGAGAAGTAATGGAGCCGGGGGGGTGGGGGGGTCAGAAAGCCATGGCCTAATGTGTATGCAGAGGCAGTACAGACCCCAAAAGTCCCACAGAGTCCCAGAGAGGCTTGGGATTCGAGTACAGCTGGGGGTGGGAAGAAGATATCAGACTGAAAACAAGGGGAATGAAAGTTAAGGTATGGTTAAAGCCACTGTGGGACACAGTTGACCCTCCTACCCCACATGCTCTTGCTTAGAAAGTCACTTGGAGTCTCTGCTGCAGCAAAACAAGAGGTGATCCAAGAAAGAAGGCATGGAATCCAGGCAGCAATGGATTCAACCCAGGAAAGCAGCAAAAAGATGGATGACTCAGGATGAAAACTGTGGTCAGATTGAGACAGAAGAATGTAGGACTCTACGAAGGAAGTCTTTAGGAAAAAATGAGGCTGAAAAGAATAGGTATGTTGGAATACCTGGAAAAGATAAATGCAACAATAATAGCAAATTAGACATTAAAAGAAATAAGGCAGTAGAAACTCCAGGACAAACAAAGAGCCACATAGGAAAGTGTTTAAAATAGTATATTACTTGGCTCTTCAGGCATTATGATATAAATACTGTTAACTTCTTGTAAAAAATGTTAAAACTTTATTGAGAGATGAGAAAGGGAGGTGGGAGAGTAGGCAGAAGTGCATCCCTAAAACTGACCATTAAAGAAATTGTATAAACAAAATGTTCAGAAATATGTGACTGCCAGAAAGAAGAGGCAATAGCATTAAAATTGATTTAAAAAAATTGTCTTTGAAGAGCAGGATTTGAGTGCAGTGGGTTGGGGAGTGTTATACGCTTTTATTTTTAAATATGGGGCTAATAAAGCAGACTTGAGAGAGAAAACTGTGTGTGTGTGTGTGTGTGTGTGCGTGTAGTTTTCATCATGCTTGATACATAGTAGGTGCTTAACAAATTTGTTTCCTCCCCAATAAAATGGCAGCAGTCACCATAGCCAGTCAGAAGCAGGGTCTACACAGAGGGACAATATACACAGCTGTGTCATAGCTCCATGAGATGGGCCAGAGGAGACTAGGGGAAGCAGAAAGGGAGGCATTTGAAATGTGTCAACTCAATGTACTCACATGGACTCCAGACAGTGTTCCAACCCACAAAAGAATTCCTGTTCTGCTCTTTCAGCCAGGTAAACAAAGGATCAAAGTAGTTGAGCAGTGGTCTTACATCCATATTCTTTGCTCCTACAACATTATACAATGCTAAGGTCCAGGGTTTTGATCTTCCAAGTTTCAGCATTTGGCTACGTGAAAAAAGGGGAGGGTGGGTTCAGGGCTTTTTGAGGAATTCCAGATGTACACATATTTACACCATGATCTATGGTTTCTCCTCTTTGGCTTAGCTAAGTTTGCTCCTGGCAGATAAGAAAATCAGGTGGGTTAATGGATGTATTCATCCTTCAATCCCTTTCCTTCTAATGACTATAAAGGGAGCTCTGTAGTTATGACATGGAGAGGAGATAGATTATCCAGCCATCACATGGTCTAGGTTCCTGTGTGACCATAAAATAAACCATTAATTTGTGGATGAGGACATTTTGAGTTCAAAATTTTTCTTTTTAGAACAAGGAAATCAAATTTTATAGAAATTTCTTTTTTAAAAAAAAGATTTTATTTATTTATTTGACAGAGAGACACAGCGAGAGAAGGAACACAAGCAGGGGGAGTGGGAGAGGGAGAAGCAGGCTTCCC